AAATCTCTGAACTGTCTGCTTGTAAATTCAGTTCCATTATCAGAACGAAAGCACTTGATTTTCCCATATGACGCCACCTCTGCAATAAATCTTTCAGTTGCCTGAGTGGTATCACTTTTGTGTTTCAGATTATATACAAATGTTGCACCTGAATAATCATCAACAAACGACAAAACATACTTAAACCCTTCTTTAGAGTTTGGCGTAATCGGACCAGCTAAATCCGTATGTACCAACTCTAATGCTGCCCTGGCCTTTTCATCTGGTTCTCGGTTCCTAGTTTGAGTAAACTTCCCTTGTATACAGGCTTCACATTGCATGTTTTTGTTGATTTTACCCTTAATTTCCATTCCATCAACGACATTTTGCAGATTTTGAACATCCTCATAATTACAGTGTCCTAGAATTTCATGCCACGTTTGCATATCAAAACATCCATTACATTTCTCTTCAAACTCTTGCACAGTGTTTATAAAGAACAGTCTCTCGTGTTCATATATAGGGAATTTTGTTCCATCAACATGTTTAAGAAAACTGTCCCCGTGTTTGAAAACCACAGTGGCTCCGTTACTAGTAGCTGCTTTTACTGACAAAATGTCCTGTGGAAACGATGGAATGTAGAGTGCTTGTTTCAATGTTACCTTGTGACTGCGTCCTTTACTGTCAATCATACTTATCTCAGCATCTCCTCGCCGCTTTGCAGCTCCTCTGCTCCGCCTTCCGTCAGCCAACTCTACACAATGAGCCTCGGGTCGAAATGTATCATCAAAAGTCTTAAAACTCTCGAGCTTCGTAAAGATATGTGACGTCGCTCCCGTATCCACCAGTAGCTGGTTATTCAGCATCTCTTGGCCGCCGTCCGGGACCCTCTGGGGTTCGGAGCCCGTCTTGAACGCGTAGTCCTTCTCCACGACCCCTCTCGCTTCATCCCGTCTCAGCTTCCTTCTACAGGTCGCATCTTTGTGTGTACTACTCCGGCAAAAACTGCACCATACTCTGGATCGGCACGTTCTTGCAGTGTGTCCCTTTAGTCCACATTTAAAACACACAATCTCATTATTCTTTGATCTTCGGTCATCTGCTCGCCATGAAGTAGAATCCTGGTCTGATTGCACTTTTGTCCTCATTACGTTGTCATCAGTTACAGCCGCACGCATTCTCTCGGTTTCTTCATAACTTCTGAGTTTTACTTTAAACTCTGAAAATGTGATTTTTGCTTCGCTCTGTGTAACGTGCACAATCAGGGGTTTAAACCTCTCTGGTAGACCTCTCATTATCATTGCGATCAGAAGTCCATCAGTTAATGACTCACCCGCATTTTTTAACGCTGTGATAATTGCTTCTGCTCGGATAATATAGTCCGTCACACTTTCATTCTTTTCATTTGTGAGAGAAGTAAGTTCGGTGTACAGACTTATGATCCTTGGCTTGCCCACTCCTGCATAATGACCTCTCAAAATTTTTAGGGCTTTCCGTCCGTCATCAACTGCATCTCTCATAACTAACGATAAACGTTTGTCATCCAGAAATTGTATCAACTCTGCATATGCTTCTGCATTTTTGTCATCATCTTCACCATCGGCTTCTTCATCACCCTCAGCCTTTAAGATGACATCTTTCAAACCTTGTAGTCTGAGATGACCAAGGAACTTCGTTTCCCATATCTCATATTTCCTTTCATCTCCATCAAACTGCAAACGGGAATATCGACTGCCCGACTCTGCCGTGCGTCTGCTCATGATGCACAAAAACGCTTACTCACTCAATCGTGCCAAACTTTTAACACCTGCCGGTAACTTGCGGTTTCAGGAAATGCTGCCCTTCCTTTGGCAGTTACAGGATCTCTTTACTGCTGCTCTGGGCCCATAACCTGTTAGCAGAGCTGCTCTGTGCAGCGTTATGGCATAATAATTTTAAGGGAGAATAAAAAGTCGACACACATATCTCATTCCTGGTGGAGGACTCTACCACTACACTTCTCCAGTCCATTCACAGAGTCGTTGCATGGTAAGACATGGATAGGAAGTGGGCGGAGCCTTTTACCGTCATTTTATTACGACGCAAAGTACAAACACCTGTGGACACACAGTCCAACAAGTGCGCAGAATTTAGTGCTTGATTTCCGCATTGGCATTTTTGGAGTTATGCCATCTCAATACAAAATTAGTAAATCTCAGGAAAATGCCATAGCATTTGCTACATTGCTTGCCAGTAGACTTATTCTATTCCACTGGAAGTCTGATAAGGCTCCTCCACACATACAATGGTTAAAGGAGGTGCTTTTCTTTTTACCACTGGAAAAACTTAGATACAGAGTTCTCTCATCACAACAAAAATTCTCTGCGACTTGGAACCCATTTATTGACTATATAAAAACGTGTTTTCCAGATGTGTGACATACGTTTTTTGTCTGTTTTTGTTTTGTTTCTGTTTACATGAGCCTCGGGTGGGGGTGGGGGTGGGGGGTTCTCTTTTTTTTGTTTTGTTTTGTTTCTTGTATAATGGCAACGTTTTCATTATGTATTGTGACCATGATTTGTGAAAAAAAATAAAAATAAATTATAAAAAAAAGAAGAAAAAAAGAATAATAACAAAATGCAGATTGATGGTAATTGTAACTGATAATGGTTACATGAATTATAAACACCCAATAAATATTATTTAGAAATCCAAACTGTGGTGGAGGTGTGGTCCCTGGCTCAGCCGCAGGGGAGGAGTGATGCAGTGAGCTCAAGGGGGCGGTGCCAGGGAGGCTGCAGGGACAGGTGGTGATGATCTTCCTAACGAGGTTTTCCTTTTTATATAGTCAAGCCGGAGACCAGAGTGAGCAGGAGCATGTGCAGAAGACCAACCGGAGAGTTGGTGAACAGGTTGGCAAACCATGAAAGCCATATGTGTGGTGCTTCAACAAACACTCGCCCAGAGCGATCAACATGACAGTGTGTTGGGTTGACTTTTATACAAACAAACCAAAAAAACAAAAACATGTCATTGTGAAGCTTTAGCAAATACTAGATTGGTCAACTGATGTGCCGTAAGCATCTGTCAGGCTCTCTGACAGTTAGTTAGTGTTGCCTACAGTTAAAATATGTAATTGTGGTGAAGAGTTAGTATGATTTTACATAAATGGAATCCACATTTAGGAGCCCTTCAGTAAATCCAGGCCAAGCTAAGAAGATGAGCAATGGGAGAAAGACCAAGGACAGAACACATGGAGATGACTGACCAGCGAGCTTTTAATGCTTAAACCTTGTCAAAGTAACTTTTTGTTGTCACTAAATTGTAAAGAGGGATATGTGTGTATAGAATGATGGCTGTTAGAGTAGCAGATGTTTAATTTTGTCTAAATTCACTATTAATTTACCTAATCAATTCAAATCAGAGGGAGAGGACAAAGAGATTGTACAAGATCAGGAAGAACAAGGTGAGCCAAAGAGTGAAGGGAGATGGAAAAAACAATAATTATTTTTCACAAAATAATTTTACATACAATTCATGAATATTTTGTGTGCTTTCCAGTAGCTTTCAGGAGCTAAGGGAGTATGAAAGAGATTATCTGGATGCTGAAATGATTGGTAAAATACATTAGGCCAATAATAGTAGACCTGTGCTACATTTGTCCAGCTAGGCAACACATATTTCTGCATAAGAGATACATGAGACACCCTTTAAATAAGCAAATTTCATGTTTAAAACATGGAAATGCAGCCAAAATGGACCATACAATGGCCTCAGTGAACACGTAAATACCTTAAACTGTTGTTGATTTTGGGAAGTTTCAGATAGTTTGGATTCATTAATGACTTTTATTATGTTTTCATTTTTCCCCATCTTGTTTTTTTTTTTTCATCTTGCATTGAAAACAGGAAGTTTCATTTTTCTCCAGAAATCCAAATAATCAGCACCAGGAAAAGCTCAGGTTTGCTTTATGATGGTCGTTTGTCAGAGTTATATGAGTTTGGGAGAAACTGTGGCAAAGCTGGAAGGAGGCAGAGGTTGTGCCCGTACATGAACCAGGGAAATACAGACCTGTTATCATTATACATCTGTAAAATAATGGAGCGAATGAATGAAAGACTAAAGCACTACACAGAAAGTAAAGGACGCGTACATAAACATCAAAGTGTTTCAGAAGAGGATCTGGTGTGTTTGGAACATGAACTCAGGAAACCAGTGGGCGGATGTTCATGATGTGGATAAAAGATTTGTAAGACAAATACGAGTGAGAATTCACTCGGAGAGGTTTCCTGTAGAAAACGGGAGCATAGTGACTTTGTTATTTTCCTTAATGATAAATGATGTGACATAGAGGGTGGGATGGGGTTTCCCTTCCATGGAGCAACTCATCTTTTCCTGCTGGGAGTGACTGGGAAAGATGAAGAGTGGTGGTATAAGTGGGGTATAAATTTTTCAGTTGATAAGAGCAAGACAATGTTTTACAGGAAAAAGAGTTGGAGAAGAAGTGAAGCTTCAGTTATAGAGTCAGGAGTTAGAGGGAGTAAATTTAAGTTTCTTGGGCTGTGGTTGGGTGAAAATGTAACCTGGGCTGTACAAGGAGCTTTGGATGGACTGTGGCTCAGAGAGCATCGGGTCAGAGTTACAGCAATACCTCCATGAATACTTCCTCCACAGAAGGTTTCACATTACAGGGACAGGGCATTTACTTTAAACTCACATACAGTACAGGCTTACATCAGTATTATTAGTATTTTATACACAGATGCATCGGAGAACAGAGCCAGTCAAAGTGGGGGAAAGGGTCACGGATGGACTGAGTATACAGTAATGCTCCCAGTACTGTCAGCTGTTCAATGGACACAAGACACGAGACCGTTACATCAGTCGTCTGTTCAGACTCAAGCTCGTCATTGGCCAGTTTACAGTGATGACAGACTTGCAGGTGGGTTTGTGTGGAGTCAGAGCCAATGAAATGGCAGATAGAGCTGCGAGGGAAGCCACAAACCAAAGATTAGTAACCCGGCTGTTAGCTTCTGTCAGGCAGAGAAACAGAGCCGCAAGGCAAGAAATGCAGGAGAGATGGAGAGGAGGAGCACAGGAAGGAGTGGGGTGACCGACAGTCCTCTTTTCCCTGGACATGTCCACTTTCCACGTTCTGTCCGGGGGGATTTTCGAGACTGATGAAAATGTCCGGGTTTTTCTATAGGCCTACAGAGGACCCATATGTGTGACATCATCCCGAGCTGCTGCTTTGCGAGTGGTTGTTCTGCCTGACAGACGGGACAGGGCGCGGCTGATGATGTTTAGAAGAAGCCAAAGCGCAAGTGCAGCTTTTCAGACGAACCGCAAAAGAAATTTCCCTCGTACCGTCGCGGGACTGGTCATCTTTCTTATACAGATGAGGCTTTATTTCTGTACCATTATTTTAATTCCAGAGGTTTTTAAGTTGTTGTTTTTGCACTTGTTGGCTTGTAAAAGCCTGTATGACATTTTTTTATTTCACCGTTCATTAACCGCACAGAGAAGGCATGGTTTAAATATGTTAACATTTTCTTTAAGTAAACATTATTAAAGTTCTTCATGACTGGGCCAAGTGTCCTCTTTTTTGGAAATCACAATATGGTCACATTTCAAGAATAAGATGTGGACATACTGGTTCGAACACTACACTGTTGATGGTGGGGAAATATAACAGGGAAATGTGAGGAAACCGTGGATCATGTCTCACAGTATCAGGTGGAGAGAAGCCCACTGACCCAGAACCTGAAGGTTAGCGGGCCTTGTTCCAGTTTGTAAAAGAGGGTAAAATGTTTGGGAGGACGGAGGGTTTTGTAGAGGTCGTTCCGGTCCACACCGGCTGGTGGCGGTAATGCACCGTTTTGTTGTTTGCCAACCGCCAACAACATTTAGAAGAAGACGAATCCCTGCTCGCTGTCAGAGCAGGCTGCTGCTTCACTCGCTCCAACAAGCACCGAACCTGCACACGGTGACCGCGCGCTTTGCAACCGAGCCAAACCGAACCGAGCCGAGCGCAACATGAACGAGTCGGCGGGACTGCGCTTCCGGCGGCTGCACCGCCCGCAGGTGATCACCGACGAGCTGCCGGAGCAGCGGCGCAAAGGGTCCAGGTAAGAGCCGCTGGGTTTGTTCTCACCGAGGCGGTGTTGAGCAGCCCACGGGGACACGCTGCGTGTTTCTGTTAGCCTTCGTGTTCGGGGTCTTCTCACTCACACACGTTGACTCTTTCCACGCTCGCCTCGTTAGCTCGTGATGCGCACCTGTAAATGTGATCGTGCAGGTGTGTTTACGAGGACGCCTGCATTAATGAAGCTAGTGTGGGGAACGCGGTTGATTGTGGGGTCAGGTGGGTCCGGTTCCGGGGTGGGTCCCTGAGGAGCCCCGCTGCAGTCACGTCTCTCTTTCTGCTCTCAGCACCTACAGCGGGAAGATCTTCCGGGTCACGCTGCTTTCTCTGGGCGTCCTCCTGCTTCTTCCTCTCCTGGTCATCATCCTCATCCTCGAGTCTCCCATCAAGCCTGAAGTCTTCACGTGAGTGACACAAGTCAGCCGCTTAATGAATAATTCGTTTGGCTACAAACATCAGCGCGTTCAGAAATGAGTTTAGATGTTTTCAAAATAAAATCCATAAAAACGTGTGAAAGATCCCAATGTTTCAATCCTGGAATAACTCGATGAATAAAAACAGAAAGTAACTCTGTAATCTGAAACTGTCTGTTCAGAGAAAGTCACAATATTCATGTTAAATCCTTTTTGAAATAAAAGTTAACGAGTTTTTGCTGCTGCCCCTGCTGGTCGGTCGTGGTGCTGCAGGCTGAAAGAACCGCCCATGATGAAGGGCTGCTGGGAGCCCAACCTGAAGCTCAGAGAAGCTCAGAGACTGTTTGAGGACCAGCTCGTCGGCCCCGAGTCCATCGCTAACATCGGAGGTTGGTGTCAGACGTCGGCGACGACCACGGCGAGGAGCGCCGAGAGCTGACAGATTGTCCCTCTGTGTCTGCAGATGTTCTGTTCTCGGGAACAGCTGACGGGAAAATCGTGAAGCTGGTCGGTCGGAGGATCCATATGGTGACGAGACTCGGGAAGCTGCCGTGTGGTGAGTCGTGCTCGTTTGTGCTTCCGGTCTTCACGTGCTGCCTCCTCTTCCTGTGCGCTGTCAGAGTTTGTGGGCGTGGCCTGGACTTCAGGTTAGAAACACTTCAGCATGTCCGGGTTTCATGTGTTAGCCAGCTAGACGAAACCTAAATGATTGGCCGGTGTCCAGGTGCGACGCGGTGCTCACCTGCGTCCAGGTGTACCCGCCTCCCTCTGCTCAGGGCTTTAAACCTTACATCATGTGACGGAGCTGCAGGTGAGCCAGCCTGAGCTCTGTCACATGCTGACAATGAGCGAGGCTGACGGGATCAAACCGTCAGCCTGTGTTGAGCAAGGCGTTACTGTCAGCCTGCCTGCAGCCACACGCTTGCTTCATTTTGGAGTTTCCCAATAAATAACTGACAGTTCGACCTTCAGCCCTGATCTGCCGCTTTCAACACAAACACGTGAGAGACCTCGGATGAACCCGGCGACACGCTCAAACCTGCACAGCGTCACAGCACACCTGACACGCAGGTAACAGCACGCCGTCTGCTGACTCCAACTCAAACCAGCTGATTAAGCTGAAGTCTCTGGTTTAAGTTTAAACTTTCAGCCAGGTGTGTCAGGAAGAACCTGAACAGGAAGTTCAGGTCAGCGAAGGTAACGTGAGCTCGCTGTGGTGCTTCCTCCAGCAGGAAGCAGAAGCTCTGAGCTTTGTGCTCGTTGACGTTTGGAGCCTGTTTGTGCCAAAATAAAAGAATCGAACAACCTGAAAAGATTTCTTTTTAACCTTCCTCACACGTCTGTGTCCAAGCACACCTTGCACCCTTTCTGATTGGTCGATGTCCAGCAGGTTCCAGAGAGGACGAGCCCAACTGCGGGAGGCCGCTGGGGATCAGAGTCGGACCCAACGGGACGCTGTTTGTAGCCGATGCCTACCTGGGTCTGTTCGAGGTCAACCCCACCACTGGTGAGTGATCCCACTTCCCACGCTTCCTGCCTGCTGGGCTCAGGTGAGTTTCGTAGATGTCTTGTGACTGAAAGGTTCTGGCGCTCAAAAGTCTAATTCTGGGTTTTACTGTAGCACATCTGGATCAAAGCTAACAGCTGGACTGTATTCGTGCTGAGTCATGTGATCAGGTGGAGCGGACTGTGTGTTTTTTTTTTTGTTTTTGTTTTTTTTTGCAGGTGAGGCGACCAGGTTGGTGAACGGCGGCCAGGTCGTCGCAGGGAGGAAGCTGTCATTTATTAACGACGTGGCGGTGACGCAAGATGGAAAGAAGGTGTACTTCACCGACTCCAGCAGCAGGTGGCAGCGGAGAGACTACATGCACCTCATCATGGAGGCCACGCCCGACGGCCGGTACCTGCGTCCAATGAGTGTCTGAGAGCGCTGACAGTCAAACGTCTTATTAGAATGGCGTTTATTAATCATCCATACGTCGAAACATCTGTGTATCAGTTCACTTTAGTGTGATTACTACTTCCTGTTTGTGACATGTCACATTAAAAGCCTGGCAGCGGTTCTCTAACGCGAGCGGTTTCATCCTCAGCGTCCTCGAGTACAACACCGAGACCAAGGAGCTGACGGTGGTGATGGAGGACATGCGATTCCCAAATGGCATCCAACTGCTGCCGGACGAGGAGTCGGTGCTGGTGGCGGAGACCACCATGGCCCGGATCCGCAGGTAACCCACCCGACTCACCTGTGCCTGCGAGATCATCCGAGGCAGAGAAGTTCAGAACGTCCAGCACAAACTAAAAACCTCAGAGTTAAAAAGATTTAACGTAAAATCTCGAGCAAATCAAACCAGGCTGCCATCTGCGTTCTTTAACTTCCTGTGTGAGCCACTCGTGTACGATGGATGTTAAACAACCGTCTGCGATGGAGCACGATGGCGCTGATGCTGGATCTCGGTTGCCGTGGAAACAGGCTCTGAGATCATCCAACCCTTTTTTTTTTAACCTACATCAAGTGTGTGAGTGAGAGTGGGAGTCACGTCTTTCTGCGTTTGTGGGGTTTACATGTTACAGACCGCTGCAGTGAGGACGTCTGTTTTACGGGGACGCGTCTGCACTGTGAGGACGTTTAGTGAAGGTTCACACGTGCTGGTAGAAATCAGGCACGGTTACATAATATGTTACGTCAGCGACACACTGGTCCTGACACACACAGAAAGACGTGAGCGTCTACAGGTATTAATATCTTTGTGGGGACCAACAATTGGACGTTTATTATACCTGTGGGGACCAACAGTCCTTATTGGGACCCAAATCCACATCCCCACCAGATTGAAAGTATTTTTGAGACTCAAAATGTGGTTTTGGTGTCAGGTTAGGTTACAGTTAGGTCACGGTTATGTTTAGGGTAAGCAATGAGATGTCCCCACGAGGATATGAATACGTGTTTGTGTGCGTGTTTGTGTGCGTGTTTGTGTGCATGCGTGCGTGTTTGTGTGTGTGTGTGTGCGTGTTTGTGTGCATGCGTGCGTGTTTGTGGTGTGCGTGGTGTGTGCGTGCGTGCGTGTTTGTGTGTGTGTGTGTGTGTGTGTGCGTGCGTGTTTGTGTGCATGCGTGCGTGTTTGTGTGGTGGCGTGCGTGCGTGTTTGTGTGTGCGTGCGTGCGTGTTTGTGTGGTGTGTGTGTGTGTGTGCGTGTTTGTGTGTGTGCGTGCGTGCGTGTGTGTGTGTGTGTGCGTGCGTGCGTGTTTGTGTGCGTGCGTGGTGTGTGTGGTGCGTGGTGTGTGTGTGTGTGTGCGTGGTGGTGTGTGTGTGGTGCGTGCGTGGTGTGTGTGGTGCGTGCGTGCGTGTTGTGTGTGTGTGTGGTGTGTGTGTGTGCGTGCGTGCGTGTTTGTGTGTGTGGTGCGTGTGCGTGCGTGCGTGTTTGTGTGTGTGTGTGTGCGTGGTGGTGCGTGCGTGCGTGTTTGTGTGTGTGTGTGTGCGTGGTGCGTGCGTGCGTGTTTGTGTGTGTGTGTGTGTGCGTGCGTGCGTGGTGTGTGTGCGTGCGTGCGTGTTTGTGTGTGTGTGTGTGTGTGTGTGTGTGTGCGTGCGTGTGGTGCGTGCGTGGTGCGTGCGTGCGTGTTTGTGTGTCAGGTGTTTTGCTTCCTTCCTGTCAGGCTCTGGCCTGAGCGGCGTGTGAACAGTAAACAGGTCTGTGGTCACGTCTGTTTTGAGTTACAGCCAATCAGAAACATGCAGTTCATTACACTCAGGTCACGATGACATAAATCAATATTTCTGTTGCAGCTGTCAGTCTGACCTCTGCAGTTGTGCTAACCCAGGATTTTAAGCTTTAATCATGTTCATCTTTTCTAATTAAAGAGACTAAAACATAAATGTTCTGTTTGGAAAAATGTTTTTTAAGCCGCTTTTGTTTTGAAATAAATAAAATATTTGTAAACATTTAATAAAAAATGGATATATCTGCTGTGACATCACCCGCTGCCGGGTGAGGTTCCCTGTGACATGAGCGTTTGGGTTTTGGCCCCCAGAGGCCACTCAGCGTCACAGACAGCTGATCGGTGTCATGTGATGCAGTTTGTACGTTTGTCTGTCACGTGACGCTCTTCTGCACCAGGGTCCACGTGGCCGGGCTGAATAAAGGCGGGATGGACACGTTCGTGGACAACCTGCCGGGTTTCCCTGACAACATCCGCCCGAGCTCCACCGGAGGTTACTGGGTGGCCATGTCGGCGGTGAGACCGAACCCCGGCTTCTCAATGCTGGACTTCCTGTCCCAGAGACCCTGGATCAAAAAGTTCATATTCAAGGTAAAAACAGACTTTTATACACATTTAAAATTAGACCTGATTAAAATGTCTGGAATCTGACAGTGATGGCGGGGAGGTGATGGCGGTCACATGGTGGCGGGGAGGTGATGGCGGTCACATGGTGGCGGGGAGGTGATGGCGGTCACATGGTGGCGGGGAGGTGATGGCGGGGAGGTGATGGCGGTCACATGGTGGTGGGGAGGTGATGGCGGTCACATGGTGGCGGGGAGGTGATGGCGGTCACATGGTGGCGGGGAGGTGATGGCGGTCACATGGTGGTGGGGAGGTGATGGCGGTCACATGGTGGCGGGGAGGTGATGGCGGTCACATGGTGGCGGGGAGGTGATGGCCTCTGGCATGTTGTGGATGCTGAGAGCGGATTCTATTAACGTCAGAGCAAAGGCGCCGTTTGTGCAGGACCACGGCTTACATCCGTTGGCGCCTGAGCGGGGGAGGGTCATTTCTGTGATGTCACCTGACGTAGGCACGGGTGTAGCATGTGTTAATGTCGCTGACCGTCAGTTTTTATCTGATGAAAGCAGGCGATATATATATTAAAAATGGCGAACGAGAACAAAACTGAAGATGAAGTTTTCATCAACGAATAAAAGCGAGATGAAAATATCTGCAGAGACGAGAGCCAATCACAAATGACTGAGCTGTGTAGCAAGGTGGCACGAGTTTGGAAGCGATCCAATCAGAAGCAGCCTCTGCTACAGCTAATGAGACGCTTCGTAAACCGCGTGGAGCGGCCGTCACCGGGGGTCTGCTGTCATCTTCTGTTTAGTTTAGGAGGAAACTTCATTCAGAGTGTTCGACCTTTGACCTTTGGTTTAATTATCCTCAGCACACACTCGAGTGAGCGCCACGAGTCAGCTGGGTTTGACCCCCGACCGATTTAATGATCATTACTAACGACGTTGCTAAAGTTAAAACTCCGTCACGTGTACGACTCCCACTGGTTTGTGGGGTAAACGGCAGTGAACTCTGGAGTGATGATGCGTTTCAGAGCGCCTCTCCTTCGTCCCGGTGTCTGGGAACATGAATGAGTCATAACCCAGAGTTTTGTAATCTGATTGGCTGCTCTGTCTGCAGACTTTGACCTGGAGCGAGTGCTGTTGCATCAGACACTGGAAAACATGAGCAGCGGTCACGCCGGGTTCATCACCGTCACAGAGCACGCCTGATTTCCCTTTAACTCCTTCCTGTCTGTCTCCTTCTCTCTCACCTTTCCTCCACCCTCCTGCAGCTCTTCAGCCAGGATATCCTGATGAAGTTTGTTCCCCGGTACAGTTTGGTTGCAGAGCTCCACGACGGTGGCGTGTGCACGCGGAGCTTCCACGACCCCAACGGCCTGGTTGCAGCCTACATCAGCGAGGTCCACGAGCATGATGGGAATCTGTACCTGGGCTCCTTCCGCTCGCCGTACATCGCCAAACTCGACCTCAGCAAGGTGTAGAAGATTCAAAAAGACGACACGCAGACAGACATTTTTGTGACTTTGAGATGTTAACACGGCGTTAACCCGTCTCTGCCGGCTTGTTCCGCAAATTAAAGTTCCAGCCTTGGAAATATCCCGAGAATGACTTCACCCAGCGCCACCTACAGGCTGTCCCAGGAATTGGGCGGCATTCCCATTTGTGGCTAATCTCTGTTGATTTTTCCTTTTAAGATTCATGCAGCTTTAGATTTATCACCGTTTTTGATAATTTCTTCCCTTTTCGACGGTATTTTGTTTGACTGCTATGTTTAGACTTTTTATTCAGAACAAAAGTGTCCAGAGAAACGAGGTTTGTGTTTGTGCTTTTGTCGTTTCTTCACTGAAAACCACTGCGACTACAGCGTTCACCTGCGAGCTAACTAAAGCATACGTTACCTAATGGATTTAAGCTAGCAAGTTCGCTCGTGGCCTAGTTTTTTTTTTTTTTAAATTGTACTCTTAGGGGCTGAGTTTGTTCCCTTCAGTCATAGTGCAGGCTTACAGATGCTTTGATTAGCAGTTAGCCTGAGCTAACCTAGCTGCCTCTGACTAACTTTGTTTACACAGAAGAAGAGCGGTTACTCACGGTGATGATCAACCTCCTGCTAACGCTGATGTCAGATTACAGGCTGCTTGAGTAACTGCTTCGCCCTCTCGGGACGATTTAATGTGTTTTGATTGGCTATTGTCTGCACTACTGCGCTTGCACTTTTTTTTTTTTTTTTTTTTTTTTATATCTAAATCTCACACGTTGGGATGTGATTATGGGTGTGTCTTTAGTGACAACCAACCAGTCACGAGAGAGGCTAACACACCCTACCTGTAACCGTGCTTACGTACTTCAGGCTACAGTGATTGATGTCACATTACAGACTGTTTAACCCATAGGTGTCAAACTCTGGCCCGCGGGCCAAATTTGGTCCACAGCCTAATTACATTTGGCCCGCGAAGCCATACCAAATTACTATTAGAGCTGGCCTACTGGTATTATACAGCTAATATATATATTGTTTAGTATTAAGCTTTGCTTGTTCCATATTCAGTTTTTCAGCAAAATGTGTTTGAGTCCATAAGAAAAGATTCATTCTTGTATCTAGAGGAAGATATTTTTTTTTCAATAAATATTAATGTTAGCCCACGACTTTGTTCCAGTTTGGAATTTTGGCCCACTGTGTATTTGAGTTTGACACCCCTGGTTTAACCAATCATCTTGCCCCTCCCAGGATTTCTTTGTAATTTCTTTGTGATTCGATTGGCCAACAGCACTGAAATATTTATACAATAGCAGTTTGATGGGCTAGCGTCTGAACGGGTTAGCTTGGGTGCTTTGGCAGGATTCAGGCGTTGCTTTAGGGTTAGATTGATAGATGGATAGGGGAGATCTTTTGTGACAATACTAATGTAGGGATTACCTGGCAACTGCTGGTCGCTAAGGAAAAATGTGTTCTCCCAGCAGGTTGCTGGTAGTCACAAGTGTGAAGTTGGTCGCTCCAGTTTCCCATAGTGGAGGATGATGAGATGAAATTAAAAAGCGCAGCACAAACTGGAAACAGTGATGGCTCCTCTTCAAAATAAAAGCTGTCTCTATCCACAGAAACTAACAAAATAAGCACCTTTTACTTTGAAGGCACCGTTGCTTAGTGACATGTTTGAAAGTGTCCACAGAGGACTCCTCTGTTAGCGTCTAAATCGATCACAAAGACGTTTTGAGCGGCTTCCTCTGTGAGTCCCGATTTCACGCCGGTGACTGTCGGTGACCTCCTGCTGCCACTTGCCCATCAGCTGGGAGCGCACACGTTTTTCTAGCGACCAAGCTTCAGACCTGTGGCACCGAAGCTACGTCCACACTGGAAGCAACATGGCGACTTCAAGCCTTTCTTTTCACAACTTCCAGACAGGTGACTGAAATGTCGTCCAATGAGAGCGCAGGATACCACTGATGAACACGGGTATGGCCTGTTTGTAGAGTTACCTGGGTAACCAGAACCGGGTGCGATCAGCTGTCACGAAACGTGGCGAGCAAATTGCTTCTGTTGTGGACGCAGCTGGATGTCCTCGCTGATCACCTCCCTCACACTGATGTCTGTTGGACGTCGCGAAGCGTGGACTCACATTCTTTGTGTCATCTGAGCGAGTCTGAGCTGTTATGAGGAGCTGTCCTCCTGCTCATGCCCTCCTCCTCCTCCTCATGCCCTCCTCCTCCTCCTCCTCTTGTCCTCCTCCTCCTCTTGTCCTCCTCTCTTGTCCTCCTCCTCCTCTTGTCGTCCTCCTCCTCCTCTTGTCGTCCTTGCCCTCCTCCTCCTCCTCATGCCCTCCTCCTCTTGTCGTCCTCCTCCTCCTCTTGTCGTCCTCCTCTTGTCGTCCTCTTGTCCTCCTCTTCCTCTTGTCCTCTTCTTGTCCTCCTCCTCATGCCCTCCTCCTCCTCTTGTCCTCCTCCTCATGCCCTCCTCCTCCTCTTGTCCTCCTCCTCTTGTCCTTTGTATGAATATATATATAACATTACAAACTCGTCTAACCCTACAAATACGTCTTATTCTGCTCGTGTATTAAAGACGAGCAGCTTTGGTTTCCGTGTAAACGTCACCGACTTTAAACGTTTCCGTTTGTTTCCTGTTTTGCTGATGCGCTGACGTCGTTACGCCACAGATTTCCTCCGACTGCCAGAGCCTCTGCAGTCAGTACAGCTCAGCAGCTCCGTGCTGCCCCTCAGCAGGCCTCTGGAAGCTGGCCAGTCAGAGGACAGTGGGCTTTGAGGGAGGAGGGGCTTAAAGAGACGGGAGCTGAAGCAGCTTGTTTCAGACAGAGGATGATCCAAGCACAGACACAGAAGGATTATTCTGAACTGGAAGTTATGCAAAGCTGCTCATATATTAGAAATAAGCAGCTGGAAACGAGCAGAATGGGTCCCTGTAAAGACATTTCAATCATCCACGGAAGACTGACGCGTGCTTTTTTTTTAGTTTGATTTTATAATTCAGGCGGTTTAGTGGCTTAGTATGGACAATGTTTCACATGCACTGAATGAGCTGCTTAGCATTAGCAGATTTTATAATAATCTTTGGGTTGAAGTTCTTCAGTATTTGTCTGTTAATCTTCAAAACTGGAAAATGTGTAAAAACTGAGGGAACCACTGGAGGACGTTTAGGTCGTGCAGCGTCTTTCGTGCAGGTCAGAGCACGACGGACGAGCCGAACAAACAAACCCTGAGATTGGAGACGGTGAAGGAGCCCGAGGCTGAAACGCACTGGCCTCCTAATAATTCCTGATCAGCGTGTCGTTATCTCTAACTCGGATCCGTGTAGAGAAGCAGCGTTTCTGTGACATCATCAGTGTGACGTCGGAGCCACAGGTTTCCTCACAGCCGGAGAACTTCACGGTGAAGTCGTCCAGTTTGGTGGCGTTTCTGTTTTTTACCTGAACAGTGATGATTGAGCAGTGCTTCTTTTGATTTTCTTTTGTGCCAAATGTGTTTCTCTCTCTGTGATGAGCTCTGTATTTCAGTCGCACTGCGTCTTTTCACACCAATGTCCTGCAGCCTTTCAATAAAAACTGAACTGTTATCGCAGCCTTCGTCTTCCTCACAGATCACACGGAGTCTCCATGAGTGATGTAATCCAGAGGCAGACTCCCACAGACAGACTGAAGTGGAGGGTGTTTTGTTTTTTGTGTTGATAACAGATGAAATAGGCTGAGAGGATGCTCAGACTGAAACGAGCTTGCAGGACGTGAACAAACTGCCTGAAGCACCAGCTGAGTTTAAGTTCCCCTCAGGTTCTGTGCTGGTGTGATGCTGCCACCTGGTGGTGATGAAAAGGAATGCCCAGTGACGGTGCAGCTTACAGAAACACAACAAGCTCAGAAACTGAGACTAAAGTGACTGCAGCTCGGCTTTTCTCCTGACAGTCTTTACACATACAGCAGGTCAGCGTGACAAAGAGGAAGCTGTGAGGTCAGAGGTCAAATACTTTATTGTTGTACGGTACTCCGTCTGTCACAGAGAACTAAAAGAGTCCATGCACAACTTCCTCATGCTCCTCGACAGGTGCAGAACCGAAAATACAGGCCAAAGAAGTAGTAACGGTTCTCCCACCGCAGAGCTCCAGTCCTTATTTCATGCATCCGATGAAGTCTTGAGCACACCTGCAAGAATCACAGCTTCTTGGTTTTTAGGCTCTTTTGTCAGGTTAAGGAGACAGAACCTCAAAGACATCCCACACAACATAACCTGCTGTGAGACGGCGTGCTCCTAGAACACGTGAAGCATCGTCGGCTTTCTTTGTCAAACATGATCAATTCATCCTAAAAAGTCGATTCTGTCCATCTGGATGTTTTTCAGCATCATCAGGTGACGTCTTCAGTCTCAGCTGACTGCAGGTCCCCAACCTCATAAACAGCACATCTGCACAGTGACGCTGACTAACAACGGGCGAGGAGGTCAGTTTAGGATCCTTAATATGCAAATTGTCATGACCCCTGATCAAAGCCCATTGGTTGGCTGTGTCTGCAGTGTGAGGCCAAGCGTCTGGTTCCTACATCACGCTGTTCTGCTCTGCCTCAGAGTGATTAACCCTTTAAAGCAAGGGTGGGCAACTGACCCAGGGTGATATCTAAAACCTGCAGGACACCGGCCCTCGAGGCGTGGAGAACCCACCCCAGCTTTAAACCCTAACCCAGGGCTGCCCAATCCCAGTCCTCGAGAGCTACTATCCTGCAGCTTTTAGATGCATCCCTACTCCAACACAGCTGAATCAAATGAATGGCTTGTTATCAGGCCTTTGCCAAACATGATGGCATGCTGAAGAGGTAACCAAACCATTTGATTCAGCTGTGTTGGAGTAGGGATGCATCTAAAAGCTGCAGGACGGTAGCTCTCGAGGACCGGGATTGGGCACCCCTGCCCTAACCCATCGCTGGCGACCGGTTAGGGTTTAAAGGGTTAATAGTGCCATTTGAATCTGTCCTGGTGTAGGACTTGCAGCCTGGAACAGCCAGACTTCCAGTTACAACCTTCAGCTGGTCCTCGTGAGCCACAGACACCCCAAATAGGGCTGGGTATCGTCACTGATTTCTAGAATCGATTCAATTCCGATTCACAAGGTCCCGAATCGATTTGTTCCACGATTCGATTTAATTCAATTCGATTTAAATCTGGGAAATTTTGACAGTCAGAAGTATAATTCAGATCAGAACATTTACATATTTTTGTATCAATAAAAAGGAAGCTGACACACGCAAGACTTTATCACAGGTGTGAGCGTCACAGCAGAGGCCTTTGTGTCAAAGTAGCTGAAGATAAAACACAGAAAAAC